CCCGGGGTCCCAGGTCCATCTCGAGGCCCGGGCCAGGACCTGGACGGTGCGACGTGTTGCTCGAGATTGTAGCCTTCATAACACCCGTGTGCTGCTTCTGGGCGATAACATGTCGGTGATTTGTGCTCACGCGAAGGGCAGGTCGTCGACGCCGGCCATGAACTTTCAGCGCCGGCTTTCGTCTGCCCTTGCTCTCGCCGTCGGGCTCAAGCTTCACGACCGCTGGGCCCCCTCGGAGCTCAACGCCCTGGACGCTGCGAGCCGAGTTCACCAGCCTCGGCATGGGGGCCAAGCGAAAGTGGCAGTCCATGTCCAGCACCGCCTGCCTGCCTCCAGCGCAGTTGGTGCTTGCGGTCCTGTCCGACTCCGACGACGTGGCCGATGCGGGCCCGGGCTGCTCCAGCAGCCGTTCTGTCGGCGCGCTGACGGGCTGCGGCCGCGCGAGCAGCGGTCGCGCTGGGCCGAGCGCCCCTGGGGCTTGCCTGCCCATCCGTCCTGGTGGCGCACGGCGGGTGGCCCGCTCAACCCCCTCTGGCCCTGAAGGCCGCCGGGGCTCGGGCCGCCTGGATCGCCTCCGGGCGGCGACGCGGGCGCGGCTGCTGCTGCTGGCCCCGCTGCTGACCGGCCTCCAGCAGGAGCGGATCCGCCCGGCGACGCAGGCGGGCTACTGCGACGTGCTGGAGCAGCTGGCTGGCTGCCTGGATCAGCGGCCGCTGCCCGCTTGGTCGGGCCCGCAGTGGGACCTTCAGCTCCGGAACTTCGTGGAGTGGGCGCGGGGCGAGGGGTGGTCGCGGGCGCTGGCCTCTCGGCTGCTGGCCGCCGTGGTGTGGGCCCAGCCTACGTTGGGCGGCCCGCTGCGCCAGGTCTTCCCCAGCGCGCACGCGGCCATGCTGGGCTGGCGCCAGCTGGGCCCGGGGCACAGCCGCCCGCCACTGCCCTGGGGTGTCGTGCTGGCCTTGGCGTGGGCACTGCTGCCCGAGTGCCCGGTGGGCGCCCTGGCCATCATCGTCATGTTCGAGACCTACATGCGCCCCTCGGAGCTCCTCAGCCTGACGGTGGGGCAGCTGGTGCCGCCCACGACGTCGCGCGGCCAAGGCGCGTTCTGGGGCTTCTGCGTTCACGTGGAGAAGCTGGGACGGCCGTCCAAGACCCAGGAGTTCGACCTGAGCGTGCTCCTGCTGCAGGCGCTGAAGGCGGGGCGCGCCCGCGGGGAGCGCCTCTTCGACGTCAGCTCGAGGCAGTTGTGCCGGTCCTTCGCGCTGGCCGTGCAGCAGGTGCAGGTCTCTTGCGTCGAGCCGAGCCTCTATGCGCTGCGGCGCGGGGGCGCCAGCCACGATCGTCTCGTTCGAGCGCGGTCGCTCCTCGAGGTGCAGCAGAGGGGGCAATGGCGCAGCTTTCGGAGCGTCGCTCGCTACGACAAGCGCGCGCGGGTGTCCTTGCAGCTCGGCAAGCTCCCCGCGACGGTGAGGGGTCAGATCGCGGCTCTGGTGGGCCGCGGCCTCGCGCCCTTCGCCGAGCGCTGCGCCAAGCTCTTGCGCAGCCGCAGCCCCTCGGTCCGAGGATCTTTCTAGACCTGTTCTCGGGGGCAGGAGGGCTGGCGGCTGCTTTGGCGGGCCGGAATGTCGCCGTCGTTTGCATCGATATCTGCCACGGGCCGTCGCACGACTTGCTGAATGATAATGCGTTCAACACCCTTCTTGGATGGATTCGATCGGGGCTGGTCGTGGGAATGTGGTCAGGTACCCCATGTCAATCGTTCACGATGGCCCGGCGGGCGCCACAGTGGTCACGACTCCCTCATAGGCTGCGCAGTCCTGAATACCCTGCAGGTCTTCCCAATCTGGATGTGCGTGATCAGCGGGCAGTTGCCGAAGGTAACGTGCTGGCTCATCGGTCCGGCGCGCTGCTAGAAGCGTGTATCCAGCGAGGCCTGCCGTGTGGGGAGGAGAACCCCTCCCAGAGCTACTTGTGGCTTGGCCACCGTCGGCCGGCCATGATGAGACGTCCCGAGTGCACGACATATATTGTTGATTATTGCGCGTTCGGCACGCCTTGGAGAGCTCGTACTCGTCTCAACCTGTTCAACGTTAAGTGTTCGGCTCTGGAAGGTGCAAAATGTAAGGGCCGTGGCACTTGCAGCTTTTCGGGAAAACCGCATTATCAGTTGGACGGGCCCACGGGGCGAGGGGGATTCTTGACACGCCAGAAGCAGGTTTACCCCGAGAAGCTGTGCCTCGTGCTAGCCAAGGCTATCGCCTCGTCCCTCAGCCTCTTGCTTGTGCACGAACTGTGGCCAACCTTCTCTTCTCTTCCTCCCTCCTTGTCCTTCCCCTTCTAATCTTGGGGCCTCGGGGGGTTTTCCTGCTGCAATACCTAACTTGTAATATTTCGTCGAATAAATTCGCCGCTCCAGTGCTGTATGCGGGGGTCCTGTATATGGGCAGAATTGGTTTGAAGATGCTCACCTTTTCACCGCAAGCAGTGGTCTGGAAAGAGAGTAGTCAGGGTCATGTTTGTGCCCCACGGAAATGACCTGACCTCGTCATCCGTTTTCCGCTCTGCAGTCTTTTTGGTTCACCCAGAACCCGCCCACCCCCAAAAAGCTGGGGCATCATTGGTTTGAAGATGCTCACCTGTTCACCGCAAGCAGTGGTCTGGAAAGAGAGTAGTCAGGGTCATGATGATGATGATGATCATGATGATGATCATGATGACCATGGTGAGGATAATGATGATGACGATGATGGTGGTGATGCTGATGCCGATGATGATGATGATGATGAGGATGGTGATGGTGATGGTGATGATACCGATGATGAGGCTGATTATGCTGATGATGATGCTGATGGTGATGTCGAGAAGGAGGAGGGGGAGCACAATGATGATGGTGTTGATGATGATGATGACGGTGATGGTGGTGGTGATGGAGTCGGCGATGGCGAGGGCGATGGCGATGGCTATGGTGATGAATTTGATGATGATGATGATGATGATCACCATGGTAAGGATGATGATGACGATGATGATGCTGATGGTGGTGATACTGATGTTGATGATGATGGCGATTGTGATGACACCGATGATGAGGCTGATGATGCTGATGATGCTGATGATGGTGATGGTGATGGTGGTGATGATAATGACGACCATGATGATTATCATGTTCATGATGATTATCATGTTGATGCTGATGCTGGACATGATTATGGCCATGATGATGCTGCTGATGATGATGATGAGGATGATGATGCTGATGAGAATGAGGATGAGGATGGGGATGAGGACGAGGATGATGATGGGGATGAGGATGAGGACGATGATTATGAATATGAGGATGATGAGGATGAGGATGAGGATGAGGATAATGATGATGATGAGGAGGAGGAGGAGGAGGAGGATGAGGATGGGGATGAGGATGAGGAGGAGGAGGAGGGGGAGGCGGAGGAGGAGGAGGAGGAGGAGGAGGACGAGGGGGGGAGAGGAAAGGTGAGAGGAAGGGGGAGGGGGAGGACTTGGACGAGGACGAGGACGAGGACGAGGAGAAGGAGGAGGAGAAGGAGGAGGAGGAGGAGGAGTTGGAGTTGGACTTTTGGAGGACGGAGGAGGGGGAGTGAGGAGGAGAGGAGCAGGAACGCGGGGCGCTGTCTCTTCAAAACGAAGACCCACCACCACAGGTGGGTGGGGAAAACCGCGTCGAACCTCGACGAAGCCCGCGCCCGAAAATCCTCGAGGAGGAGGAGCAGCGGCACCAGGGCCCAGGCCCCTGCGCGCCGGGCCCCCGTCCAGGAGGCGCGCCCGAGCGCCGGGTCTCCCCGAAGCGGCGGCGAGCCCGGCGGCGATCCCGCGCGGCGGCTGCCCCCGGGCGCCCGCCGGGGCGGCCCAAAATCTCGAGGGGCTGTGGGGGCTGCGGAGGGTCACCATCGTTGCTCGGTGGCGGACGAGGGGGGGGAAGGGAGGAGGGGCGGGCCTTCTCGGAGGGCTCGGGAGCTCCCCGGTTTTCTCTCAGAAATTGTGGGAGCCTCGCCGAGGACACCGAAAGGTTTTCGGAAGGCCAGAGGCCTTCTGAGAAGCCCCGCCGCCTTCTGACATGGCCTCCTCCTGCTCACGTCCCCCTCTCGCTCGCCGCCCCATCCCCGTCATGATCCCCACCACGCCACCATCCAGGTTGGGGATACGCCCCTCGGAACCCGAAGGGAACAGCCTGCATTTCCATCTCGGGGGGTAGATCAGCCAGTGGAGCTCAGGCCACGCCAGTGTGTATAGGGATCACAGCGTTCCCATCAAAGTTCTTTCTTCACATCATAAATGGTCCACACCTTTTTGTAACATTCATACAGTAGTGAGAGCGCTAAAGAAGTGATGTGACCGAAATTCGCAAACCTCCTTTGAAACATCTTCACTAAGCATGTTGTGAAGCTCCGAGGAGGTGCTCCAACCGTGGGGAGCAGGGCGGAGGCACATGAGGACCAGCAGATGCCGCCACCGCTACTTCGTTGTTTTCGCCTTTTTGGACCTGCTGGGTGGCCCTCGTCGCCACGGCTGAACTCGCCTCGAAATTCGTGTCAGCGTGCACTTCGTAAGAGGTTCGGGGAGTAGCGGTATCGGCACCTTTGGGTGTCCCCTCTGGCGCCGCGTGAGGGGGGAGGGAAGGGAGCAGGACAGACAGGAGGATGGACGGGTGGATGAGGAGGATGGGGGGAGGAGGAAGGTTGCCTCATATCCGGGAGGCAAGCAGAAGATCAATGGCACGCCTCCGTTGAGAGCCACTCACCGTGAGAGCCGTCAGGCCTGTCCCTCTACAGGGGGAATACTCAAGAATAGTCAAACAATAGTCTGGGGACTATGTTTTGACTAGTTTCGAGCATTTTGGATGCATTGTGTTGGGCATTTTTAATGTTTCGTCCAAGATCCCCTTGTAGGGAGACAGGCCCGACCTACGACTACTTCCTTTATCTACGAAGTCCTTCTGCTCTTTCAACAAACACACGCTGATGGGTTCCCCAGGGCGGCGTGCCACTGGTGAGGGCAGGGTCTTCGGCCAAGAGTGGGCGGACAGCCGCGATGCTCGAGTGCTTACTTTGGAACACCCGTCGGGATGAGGACGAGGAGGTGGAGGGGGAGAAGAGGAGGAGGAAGTGGAGGAGGAGGAGGAGGAGGAGGAGGAGGAGGAGGAGGATGAGGAGGAGGCGGAGGAGGACGAATGGAAGGAGGAGGAGGAGAGCCGTTCCCGCGTCGAGCCCGCCGCCGCCGCAGGACCGCCGTCGGGCGGCTCGCCGCGGGCCTCCGATGTCGGCGGCGCTTGATGCTCGTGCTGCACGCGCCGCTGCCCGCGGGGCCTCGATGGCGGTGCACGCTGCGGCTGGCCTTGCGCGCGGTTCGGCGGCCGCTCGCTTGTTTCGAGCTGCAAAGGGGCTCTGCCGCACCGCGACGGTGGTGCTCGAGGCCGAGTCGAGGCCTCGGCCTGTCCGCGCCGAGGGGCGAGCGGAGGGGCCACCTGCTGCTCCCGCTGGCACCGCGCCGCCTGAAGGCCCTCGGCCTTGGCGGCGTGGGCGGCGGGCTCGCAAGCACCGCGGCGCTGGCATGCAGGTGGAGCCCACCGCGCCCAACCTCGGTCGCGACGGCGGCGGCACGGCGGACGACGGCGGCGACGGCGGCCTCGAGGACGACAGCTGGGCAGACACGCTCGTGTCCCGCCCAGCGCCGTCGGCCGATACGCCCGCCGTTGCGCCTGGCGCTGCCGCTGGGGTGCTGGAGGCAGCTGGCGAGGCGCCCCCATACCCATGAGCCGCCTGGAGCACCGCTCGGCGGCGAAGGGGGGGGGCGCCCAACGGCCTGCGGAGGAAGCGCCTGCTGCGGCTACTGCTGCCGCTGCTGGCGGGGAGGCTGCGGCATCGGACGACGACGAGGAGGCGGAGAAGGTCGCGCTGCTCTCAGCGTGGCTCGCGACGCCTGGCGCTCGGGTCGTCGACGACCAGCCCCACTTCATAGGCTGGCGTGCTGCTCGCCTCCGCGCCTGGCTCGCCAGAGCGGCGGAGGCTCCCGGCACCGGAGCAGGGAGGGGGAAGCAGCGGGGGAGGCGGCGATAGTGCGGCCCCCCTGCAGAGGGTGGGCGCCGCCTGCCCCTCCCCCCCCCCCTCCCTGCACATGGAGTGCTTCGCGGTGCTCCACTGCACGTTGCCCATCTGAGAGGGCGGCGAGGCCGACTGCTACGACTTCGCGGTCGGGGGGTCTGGTCTGCTCAGGTGGAGGCCGGGCCCCCCGCGGACTGGACGGTGAGGACTCATTCCGCCCAGGTTGCGTCGAGGAGGAGAGGGAGGAGGAGGAGGAGGAGGAGAGGAGGAGGAGGAGGAGGGGAGGAGAGGAGGAGGAGACAATGAGAAGGAGTGAGGGGAGGGGGGGTGGAGGAGGGGCGGAGGGGTGGGGGATACCAGGTGGATGGGTGTTAGGCTCGTTGGGGGGGGGGAGTCCGCAGAGGGTTTGTGGGGGTGGTGTGATCTGTTGGCAGTCGCAAGCGCATTCTTGGGCGGCGATGCTGTGCATCTACGAGATACTCCCCGCGTACGAGTGTTGTGAGATAGAGACGTGTGTGCTGTCGCGCTCGCGCGCGCTTGTAGTTGGGCCTCATTCGTAAGCCGGTCCTGTAGCAACAGGTGCACAGGATGGTTGTGTGAACCCCCCCTGTTTGGTGTGGCATCACGCGTTAGGATAGTCTGGAGAGAGAGTTTTCGATGGTAGTCCGTTACGCTGACGTGTGTTCACGCTCAGCGTCACGCAGAGCTAATGCGCACCGAGCGTGTTTGTGAGGAAGTGAGTGTGGGGGGTGGCGCGGACGCTAGTCGCAGCGAGGGCCTCCGCAGAGACCAAAAGGTGCCGAAACATCTCCCGTTATGATCTTTCCGCAGCGAGGGGGGGTAGGGGTCCGCCTCGATGCCGTCACTCCCCCGATCTCTCCTTTTATGCGTTCGGATTAGAAGTCCGAAGCGAGTCCAGCCGTTGCGACGAGGGTTTCCCAGGATTGATTCCAACAAGGCGAATCCTCCTCCTCCTCCTCCTCCTCCTCCTCCTCCTCTCCTCCCTCCCTCCTCATGCTCCTCTCCTCCTCATCCTCTCCTCCTCCCTCCTCCTCTCTTGCCCTCTCTCATCTCTCTCCTCCTCATGCCCTCTCTCTCATCCTCCTCTCTCCTCTTCTCCTCCTCCTCCTCATGGCCTCTCCTCCTCCGCATGCTCCTCCTCCTCCTCATCCTCTCTCCTCCTCCTTCCTCCTCCCCCTCCTCTCCTCCTCCTCCTCCTTTCCCCGCCTCCTTCCTCCTCCTCCTCCCTCCTCCTTCCTCCTTCCTCTTCTCTTTCCTCATTCGTCCTCCTCCTCCTTCCTCCTCCTCCTCCTCCTCCTCCTCCTCCTCTCCCTCCTTCTCCTTCTCCTCCACCTCCTCCTCCCTCCGACGGCCCAGCTGCGGATTGTCTGCATCGAGAGAGGTTTGGCTGGCGGCCCAGCTCGGGTCTCTGGCGACCGTTCGGCCGAGAACCAAAAATAACCTCCCGACAAATTCCCGCCGAAGTTTTTGCCAGCGAGATGATGGGCCTGCTTTCCACCACCACCACCACAATAAGTTGGAGGGGGAGGGGGTCCTCCTCCTCCACCTCCTCCTCTCCCTCTTCCTTATCCTCGTCCTCCACCTCCCCCCCCCGATGCTTCCCCGAGCTGGGGACAGGGGTGTCTCGAGGGATACGGGAGGACCATACCACCAGGTGGAGCCTCCCTGGCTCCTGCTGGTGGTCCCTGCTGGTGGTGGTGGTGGTGGTGGTGTCGCTTTTCCTTGTTCCTAGGGTCGTGTTTTTTTGTTGTTGTCGATATGGGCGCTAATGCGCGTTATGCCTCCTAGCCTCCCCTCCCCCCCTCCCCCCCCCAAAACAAACGTAACGCTCCCCCCCTCGGTGCGGCCTCGGCGCTGCTGCGGTGCGTCAAGCACCACAGTTTGGGTGGGGGGGCGTTACATCATCCCCCCCCGTCCCCCCCCCTCCCCCCCGCATAAACATCGTCTTTGCGGCGAGTAAAACGTGCGCGGGGGGCTTGTGCGGCGCTGCCGGCCAAGGCTCGGCCGCGGAGTACTACAGCAGCACCTACGGCGGCTGGGTGCCCGCGCTGGTGAAGGGCTTTGACGACCGCAGAGGCACCTACGTGCTGGACATGCCGTGCGCCCCACGGGAGCGGTCCCAGCTCCTCGTCGGTACGATTAAGTCGGGTTCGTCCCTCTACAGGAGGAATTTTCAAACATAGTTTAGGAAATTGTCTGGGAACGATTTTTTCATTAGTTTGGACACTGTTGATGTTTTGACTATGTTTTAATTTGTCGTCCAAACTCCCCCTGTAGGGGGACATGACCGACCTAACGGTACGATCGACATGGATATTTGAAGAATGGTCGGGGAAACGCAAGACTCGAGTACTGTGGAACTCGTGCTTGACGACGCTGTTTGACGAGCGCATCCCGGGTTTGGGCGGTCAAGTTTTCGGGGGCCGTTTGCAACGAGAGGTCACGTCAAGTTTCAGACTGGGCCTCGTCATTTTCATGATGGCCCCCTCAGGCCAACCCGAGTCCCTCGAACCCCAGTCTCCCCGAAATGGCTACGACGACCGACATCAGCTTTTTTCATTTTGAACAGGGTTCGGTGTCGGTGTCGCCGCGGATGTTGTCCATTTGCGACAGAAGCGCCCGCAGCCGGTGTTGCATAGCATTTGATGTTGTGTGTCCCGCCCATTTGTTCCGTACCCGCCCATTTGTGAGTCCAAACTTAAGGGTTTGATTATTTGTTCGCCAATGAATTTTTGGGGATCGGGTTATAGAAATCAAGGTAATTCCATGGAAATCCACATACATCGAGGAAAGTCCGGATATTCCAAGGGTTGAGGGGCATCAGCAGTTGTTATCAGTCAGCCCACCCTGTGCTGGGCCAGCGGCTCGCGTAAGCCACCGCGTAAGGCCGCTATGCAATCTCGCGTAAGACCCGTTTCTCTTCGTCGCTCATGTGGCAGAACAAAATGGAGCACACATGTTCTGGAGTATGTATCCGCTTGAAGGACCCAGGGCCCAAGGCGGAGGCCTCCAAGGAGAAGTCTCGGGAGATCACGGCCTCGTGAGGGCTCGTTGGATTGCTCGAACCCGGCGCGCACATTCTCGATCGAGGGCCTCGAGGACCTCGAGGGCCTCGCTTCGACCTCGGTTGAGGGTCCCGTCGAGGACCTCGATCGAGGGCCTCGTCGAGGACATCATCGAGGGCCTCGATCGAGGGCGTCGTCGAGGATTTCGATCGAGGACCTCCTCAAGGGGGCCTCGATCGAGGACGTCGATCGTGGACCTCGATCGAGTGTCTCGAGCCACCCGGTCGCACGCGCACGGGAGCCGCCCCCTCGGGGCCAGCGACCAGGAGGGCGGGGGGGAAGTGGTCCTGGGGGCTTGCATCGCTCGGACGTGTGCATTCTCGGCGGGGACCATGGAGGAGAATCCTGGATCATCCTGCGATCACAGAAACACGCACGAAACCGAGAAATGCACGGGGCATGGATGTCACAGCGATGGCAGGGGGGGGGGCAGGAGGAGGAGGAGGAGGAGGAGGAGGAGGAGTCGGAGGAGGAGGAGGAGGAGGAGGAGGAGGAGGAGGAGGAGGTTGATCCCCACGCCAACGGGGGCCTTGGGCGGAGGCTTTCGGTCGTTTTCGTCGGTTCTCGGCGCTCCTCCAGCCTCGGGAGGTCATCCAGCGGGTGGGCTTAGGCTTAAGTCGGGCCTGTCCCTCTACAGGGGGATATTCAAAAATAGTCGAACAAATGATCTGGGGACGATTTTTTGTTTATTTTTGACCGTCTTGGAGTATGTTTGGTGTATTTTTTATTTGTCGTCCAAAATCCCCCTGTAGGGGGACATGCCCGACCTAAGCTTAGGCTCGTTGGACTGCTCGATTCCAGCGCGGACATTCGTCGGGGGCGACGACAAGGGGGGTCGATGCAATTTGGGGTCAGCCACAGCGCCCGATCTTGCAGGATCCTGCAGAGCCAGAGTCAACCACGTTCAGAGGGGGGTGGGGGGAGGAGGGGAGGGCTTCTTAGAAGCACCCCTGCTTCTCGGAAGGCGTGGGCTCATCTATAGATGTAAGGCCGGCGCCTTCTAAGAAGCAGCCTCCTTCTAAGAAGCCCCTCCCCCCTCCCTCCACCCCTTTGTGCGCGCCGCCAACGGAGGTGCATTGACCCGGGCTTGCGTGCAGGATCCTGCATATTTTATCATGCAGGACCCTGGAGGATCTTAGAGGATACTGCACAGCCCGACTGACCCCGTCTGGCATTGACCCGGGGTAGTGCGTCCCCGGTCGTCGTTTTTCGGCGGTCCTCCAGCCTCGAGATGCCATCCATCGGCCGCTGGAGGCCCTAGTTAAAACCCGAAACCCACCAGGGGGATGCATCGGCCCCGAATCGCCCATTCACCGCCGATGGGGCCCGACATCCCACTCCGCCCAGCAACGTGCGCATTCGCTCTCGGGGGCCTGTCGTTGATTTATCGGCGATGCGATGCATGTCTCGTCGATTTCAGGTCGATGTTCCCACCATGAGTCAGCCCCCCGCCCCCCCCAACGTTCCCACTCAGTCTCGTGAGAGCACAGCCCCATGAGCTCGGGCTCGCTGGACTGCTCGACTCTACGACCAATCTCGAACCCACCCTATCCCTGCGGGTCCAATCTCTGCTTGGGTACCAGACACCCCCCATGGGGTTTACTTGGCTACAGGCACCCGCAGAATTCCTGGCCAAAGCCAGCGTTTCAGAATTCTGACCTGCATGGGTAGGGTTCGCATGTGGTTGCTTATCGACGCTTCGCTCGAGGGGAAACCTCGGACGGGGTTGGGGGCTGGGGACTTAACCAGGCCGTCTCACAGGGGATTGCTTCGGGCTCTTCAGCGCAACGCTCTGCGAGAGGAGAGGAGAGGATGAACTTGGAACTTGGAGCTTGGGTGTCCGCGCCGCAACTTGGCACTTGGAGCCTGGAACGTCGAGCCTGGAACCTGGAGCGGGGGCGTGCAGGGCGCGAAGCCGCCTGCAGGCCAGGAGAGGAGAAGGAGAAGCGAGGAGAAGGGAGGACGCCGAGCATCCAGCACAGATGCCTGGCATCCTCCCGCTCTGCCCCTCCCTCTCCTCGACCGGCGCGGCGAGGGCACGGCTCGGCCTGCCCCGCCTCTCGGGCCTCGGGCCCCACGGCGCGGTGACCGCTCCGGCCGGGGGCCGCTCCCGGCGGGCGCGCGGGCCGTACAGCCCATCGCGCTGCTGGACAAGGTCCGGCCCGTGAGGGGCACGTCCGACGACCTGGCCGCGACGGCGCCACAGGCCGCGGGGAACTGGAGCAGCCGCCCGCTTGGCGCCGCTCGAACGTGTGCCATTTTTCTCCGGCGAGGACCACCGAGGAGCATCCTCGACGATTTGGCGAAAAAGCCGCGCACGGGACCGAAGAAAAATGCACAGGGAAAGGACGTCCGAGCGATGGCCAGCCCGGGGCACCACCCCGCGCCGTCGTGGCGAGAAGGCCACGGTGGGCGGTCTCGAGGCAGTGTTCGACCTCCAAGGGCCCTCGCCGATCCCCGGGACCGCCGAGCAGAAGCGTTTCGTGGCGGGCACCCGGTCCGGACCCTCAGGCTTGGCATCGCTCGGACGTGTGCATTTTTTCCTCGGTGGGGACCATCGAGGAGCATGCTTGATCATTTGGCGAGACAACCACGCACGAAACCGAAAAAGGCACAGGGAATGGACGTCCGAGCGATGGCGAGCAGGGGTCCACGCTGTGAAAAAAGGCACAGCGCCGGAGAGTTGCTCCTGCCCCTTTTCCTCCTCTTTTTCCCCGTCCTGTCTCCTCCTCCTGTCTCTTGAGGGCTGTGGGCGTGGAGCTAGTCGCAGGTGAAGCATTGCAGGAGCCACGAGCGCCCGTGCAGCCCACGCGTCCCTCAGGATGCGTGGGCATCACCTCTTGCTTTTTTTGCCCGCGGAGGTCTGTCAGGAGGGCAAAAAACATACACGCAGGCACAATGCATCATCGACCCCCAGGAAGATATGGGAAACTATGGGAAGGGGCGGGGGGAAAGACGAAACTCCAGAACATATGGACACCATGGAGAATCCTGGGATGTGTGTGTGTGTGTTTCTTGGTGTGTGTCCTTGGGCCCCTGGAGCTCTGGAGTCGCAGGATGCAGCAGGGCGAGGGCCCGATGCACGCGCGGGGCTCCCTGCGCCACGAGGAGGCGCCTCGAGCTTCGGGGGGGGGGTCCTCGGCCGCACCTGACGCGCAGAGAGCCGCTGGGAGCCAGCTCGAGCATCCAGGGGCGAAGGGCTCGGGGGTGGACAGAGCCCCCAACAGTGACACGTCGATTAGTGAATTGTCCGTGTTCGGCTCTCGAGAGGGCGCCGTGGCCGTTGTTTTCCGGGCTTGCGCCCGCCAGGTTTGGGCCTCAGGTCGTTTTCACTAAACCACGTTTTACTAAAGGGGGGTCTGTCCATCCCCGAAGGGCACGATACAGTCGGCCCGGATTAGTAGGTCGACCCTGTCGAATATCAAGGGTGCCTTTGTGTCCCGTGGCTCGCGACCCGTGCCTCCTGCATTCGCACGGCAGTGTGTGGCCCTCGGAAGGGTCCTTGGTCCTCTCGCGCGTGTCTTGCCCCTTGAAGTCCGACTGCACATGTGAGCGACCGGAGAGGCGGGGTCGATTCCGCCGACGTTGGCGCGCAAGCCGCCCGCGTGAGGTCGCGCGTAGGCGCTCTCGTTTCCAGTGTGGGGTGTCGCGCTGGCGGCTCGCGTCGGTCACCGCGTAGGGCCGCCGTGACAATTCGCGTAAGACCCCTGGCTTTTCGTCGCCCATGTGCCAGAAAGCGGCACATGTATCAATCGGTTCCTCGGGCTCCCTTGTGCTCGGTTCGCTTCCCCGTGGCCCAGCGCCTGCTACGACGACTTTCTCTCCCCGCTCCGCGACTTTGAAAGTGCCAGAAAGTGGCCCATCCAGGGTAACGTGTTGGGGGTTGTGTGGCACAAGCTCACGGCTACATCTCAGCTGCTGTTGCGAAGCCACGATTGCACACCAATGTGCATCACCGTTTGGGTGATTTCTTATTTGTGGACTGGCAAAGCCTCCTTGCCCGCTCTTCCCCGCCTTTCCTCTTTTCCACCCGCACACGGTGTAGCCGAAGAATCGGTTGACGTGCCGCTGCTCCCGCAGAACGAAGAGGAAAGGCCAGCATCCTCTCTTTTCGCCCACGCGGTCCGGCGTGTGGCTTCTGAGTGATCGATTGATTGATTGATTGATTGATTGATTGCACGACGAGCGCCTTGGGCTCCGCAGAAGCACCCATCTGCCATCACCGTGACTGGCCACGGCCTCCCTGGCCCGTCGAGGTGGGTGACGCACACGTGCGCCCTCCTGGTTGAGGCCAGGAGGTCGGTAAAAGATCTAGGGGCCGAGGAGGTCTTTAGCCAGGCATGCACGGTGGCGTGTAAGAGTGCTCGTTTTCTCTTTGGCATTCTTTCGCCGATCGGCGAACGGCCCTCGCACCCCCTCCCCCCCCCCATGGAGCATAGTGGAAACCCATGCCAGGAAACACCCTGCTTGCCTCCAGGGTGCCCTGGATTTCTTGCGTTTCGATGATTTTGCTATGGAATGCGCACTGCCGCAAATAGTCGCATTAAGTAGAGGTCCGGAGCCATACCCCTCCCCTCCGCCCCCCCTTTCCTCCCGAGAAAAAACGTTCACTGATCCGGTGCTTTCTGTGTATGGAGTGGGCATAGCGTTGCGTGGTTGGACCCCCCCAGTGAGCGCGAGGTCTAGTGAGGGTGTGCGTAGCGCGTTGATTGCGAAGGCCTTACGGCCGGTGCCGCCGACCCTGTTCGCAATGCGCAGCAAGAGGCACGGGCTGTGGGATGGTTTTGGGGAACGGGGAGAAGGACGAGAAGGTGGGGGAGGGAGGTGTCGTATCTGACCCGGGACTTCCCCGGGACTCCCCTGGGACCCCCCCCGGGACCCCTCCTCCCCCCCCCGTCGGGGAAGGGAAAGGGAAGGGGCTTCCCTTCGACTCAATTACGACGTTGCTCAAGGTCGGTACGGGGGGGGGCGTCGTATCTGACCCGGGGGAGGGGTCGCTACCCCCCCCCGCTACCCCCCCCCCCTCCCGGCGGGGGAGGGATCAAAGGGAAGGGGCTTCCCTTCGACTGAATTACGACGTTGCTCAAGGTCGGTACGGGGGGGGGGGCGTCGTATCTGACCCGGGGGGGGGGTCGCTACCCCCCCCCCTCCCGGCGGGGAAGGGATCAAAGGGAAGGGGCTTCCCTTCGACTGAATTACGACGTTGCTCAAGGTCGGCTTGGCTCGAGCGGCTCGGGCGCGGCTCGGGCGGCTGGGGCGCAGGACAGAGACGACGAGTACAAAGAATAACGGAGATGACGGCTCGAACGGAAAAGCCCCTCACACACGCCGACAGGGTCGGCGGATTTATTGGGCATCCTTTTAGCGCACGAAAGTGGCGACGGTTGCGCAGTTGGCAGCGCTCACTGATGGCGAGATCTCGTCTGGTGTTGCATCGGCCCGTGTTCCTCTTGACCTCCAAGGTGCGCACGACGGTTGCGACAATGATGCAGTTGGCAGCCCCCAGCTGGCGCGAGGTTTAGCGTGGGTGTGCGTAGCGCGTCGCTCCGATGGGCCACCCGGGAGCGCACGAAAGCGGCGACCACTGTACAGTTGACGTGACAGCACCCACTGAAGGTGATTTCTCGTTTGGATCGGAGTAGACCCGCATTCGCCGCACCTCCCGAAAACGCACTGAAGTGGCAGCCGTTGCGCGGTTGACGGCACCCAGGGTGCTGCGAGGCCCCGACGGGGTCTGCAGTCCACTCTTCTGGACCTCCTCATGAGCACGAGCAGGGAGAACGCCTGAGGAAGGACAGAGACAGGGAGACGGGATGAGGACCGAGGAGGAGGAGGAGGAGGAGGAGGAGGAGGAGGAGGACCCACCACACAGGATGGCTGAGACAGCACTTGACTGTGCTCGACCCTCTCTTGCCCGTGACCTCGCAGGCGACTGATCGCCCCCCAGTTCCCAAGTGCCCCCCAAAAAACATTGGCCGCTTCGGGCTACCGATCCTGATGATCCCTGAGGGTTCTGAGCATCCTGAGGATTCCGATTGTCAAAACTGGGCTGCCGCTTCGGGCGACAACAATGTCTCTCGCGGATACCCAGGGCGCTATCTGGGCGCACCCTTGGCAAAGTTTGGCGCCCCCCCTCCATTCTCCACAGTTCGGCCTCATTGTGTCTAGCGTTGACTCCGGGGTTGTCCCTCTACAGGGGGAAGATTTCCAAAACTAGTCAAAAGATATTATGGGAACGATGTGTTGACTTTTTTCTTGTCGGTATCTGTTTGGATTATTTTCAAGCGTTCGCCCAAAATCCCCCTGTATGGGGGACACACGCCCGACCCCAAGCCTAGCGCGCCCAGTCGAACATGCCACCAAGTCGAGGATTTTGGGGGGCGCCGTGCCCCCTTCACCGTTCTGCGGACATGTCCGCGGACGACTCATGTGCGCACCGTGTGCCGCGCTGTCGTCTCCCGAGGCGTCGTCGGGCCCCGACTGAAGTCGGGCACGTCCCTCGACAGGAGGGCTATTCAAGAATAGCAGAAAGATCGTATGGGGGCTATTTTTTGAACTATTTTGTTTTGCAATTTTGGAGTATTGGTTTTGACTATGTTTAATCTTTCGTCAGAAAGTCCGCCTGCAGGGGGACATTCCCGACGCAACCCTCGACCCAGGAATGGTACGGCGCACGGTTCTGTCCGGCCCCGCTCCGAGCCGAAAGACTACGGTCCGTGCTGCTTGGAGCGGGGCAGCAGCGGAGTCCAGACACGGCACGGTGCAGGGGCGCCGCTCGCGTAGGAAAGGCGTGGGCCACCGCCGCCGAGAGCCCCAGGGGAGGCCGACCCCCTTGGCGGCGGCACGCCTGAGCGCGGGCCTGTAGTGATTGGGGGGCGCTCGGCCGCCCAGGAGGCGGTCCTTCTCAGAACGCGGAGGGGCTCAGAGGAGGATAGGGTACCCCATACCTCAACCCTTCCCTCGTCTTCCTCGTTTTCAGCCTCCTGGGAGGCCCTCGTCCTCACCGCTGGATTCGCCTCGAAATTCTGGTCAGCGCGCACCCTGGGAGAGGTCCGGGGAGTAGCGGTATCCGTTCTTTTTGGTTTCCCAGGGGCTTCTCAGATACCCTCCAGCCTCGGGAGAGGCTCTGCGGCTTCGGAGACAGCGCAGCACAGTTCTCGGAAGGCAGGGGGCGTGCGAGAGCATCCTGAGAAGGCCCGCCCCCTCTGCCTTGCCAGATCTCCGACGCCGCGTTTTTGTTCTCGCCACGTGGACCCCTGGCGATCTCGAAGTCTTTTCTGTGGGACCGGCGTTTCATCCCGAGCAGTGTTCCGAAGGCCCCGTGGCCGGGTGAAAAAGAGCCCCAGAGGCCGACAGTGGCCAGGCGCCTCCCGTCGCGAGGTGCTCGCGGCGGGAGGAGGTGGGGCCTCCCCCCGTGGGCGCGCCGCCTGACCTCTGAGTTGTGGCCCGTCTTTCGCACTGGGGGCTAGGACGAGGATCGGTCCGTTCCAGGGCGGCGTTCCGGAACGCTCTCAGAGCGTGCTGTAACGCTCCGGGAAAGGCGAGGCTCCTCGGGTTGACCCAGAAGAGGGTCCAGCGTCAAGGGGGTGGTGCAATAGATTTGGTGCGACAGATTCGTGGGGGTTGCCATACATTTTTTGGGCGTCCAATACATCCTGGGGCGCACATGTATTGCTGCATTTTCGCGTGCAGTACACGACTTGCAGTACACTGCAACACAATTCTCCGGCGCAATACATTTCCAAAACAGTACCGCAAGTCTACTGCACCACCCCCTTTGAGCTGGACCACCTTTTCCACCTTTGGGGTCACACACATGAGACGCCCGATACGTCCTCCAGAGCCGCCAGATCTCGGAGATTCTCGATGTATCTCCTCACCCGAGGTTGTCCTCGTCCTGGCTTCGTCTCTTGGGCTTCCCGCCTGGCCGCTAGCCACACCCTCGTCGCTCGGGGGTTTTTGCTAACAGGTGCCCCAGGGACCCTATGGTGCCCCAGCACTTCGCTCGATCTTGGAGCCCCTGGGGGCCCTCTGCGGCCTCGTGAGTGAGAAGGGCGCTCTCGAGGTCGTGGGCCTCCCTGCAAATCCTACAGGCCCGACCGCGGTCTCCTCGCCTGGCCCGGCCCTCCCCCTCGGACAGAGTTAGTTCGGGCATGTCCCCCTACAGGCGGATCTTTGGGCGAGAAGTGAAGAAATGTTCCAAACATATCCCCAAATGGTCAAACAGTGGCCAAAAACAATGCCCAACAAAGATCCCGGGTCAAATGCAGTCAAACAAACATCCCCAGGCTATATATATATATATATATATATATATGTCTATATATATATACATATCACCATTTTTGACGAGCCCTCCCGCAGAGGGACAGGCCCGACTCGAGCGCAGAGCCCCCGAGGCCGCGCCGCTCCCGGCGGGCCCTTCGCCCGTGCCGGGCGTGCCGACGCAGGCGCTCGGGCCCCTGCTGGCCGCCGCGGCCGCCGGGGCGGCAGGGCGCGGGCCAGGAGCCGCCGAGCAGAGTGCAAGCGGGGCGTCGATGCTTCGGGCAGGAGGTGGGATTGACACACTGGTCCTCCACCTCCGCCGCCTCCTTCTCCTCCTCCTCCTCCTCCTCCTCCTCCTCCTCCTCCTCCTCCTCCTCCTCCTCCTCCTCCCTCCTCCTCCTCATTCTCCTCCTCCTCCTCCTGCTCCTCCTCCTGCTGCTCCTCCTCCTCCTCCTCCTCCTCTTCCTCCTCCTCCTCCTCCTCTTTGTAAAAGGGAGGAGAGGGTTATCCGCCACGCAATGCACAGGAAAAGGTTTTGTTCACCTTTGGCCCCCTTCCCCCTTCCCCTCGCCCGGTCATAAGACCTCCTCGCCGCGGCGGAGGTTGTTCTCCCTTTATTGTTGGGCGGGCTTGATCATGTCGGGGGGTTCTCTTTCCCTGTGCGTAATGCTCTCTGCGCTACCCTGCACGATAGGAATTTTGAACACGCTTGTAAGATAATTGCTCTATAGATCGACAGTTTGAGGGCCCGCGCGGGGCCTGAGCTTCAACAGTGCTCGTCAGGATGGAACTCCTGACGCTTCGCTGTATCCCAACCAGCCCATTCAGAAACATATTGCCAGGCGAGTTCAAGCGTTGTTGTGAGAGATTATCGGAGGTTTTTTGTAGCCATGTTGAGGCTCTTTGGAGGTTCTCGTGGGGCCCTATTGGGGCTCGTTTGGGGCCGTCTTGAGGACCTCTTGGAGGCTTGGCTGAGGTGGTGGGGGTATCCGACGTGCCGCTCACTCCGCCGCCGCCGGCCGCTGCGACCCCTGGCGCGCCTCCGCCAGCCGGCTTTCGAGGAGGACCCGCTCGGCGGCCCATCGCTGCGAGCTCGCCGCAAGCTCCGCCGCCGCGGCTAGCCGCTGCTCTCCGCTCTCCTGCCTGAGCTGCTCCCTGGAGGCCAGCGCGGCCGAGAGCCTCTCCTCCACGCGCCGCCTCAAGGACTCCTGGCGACAGCGCTCGCGGTGGCATCCCTCCTCTGCCGCGACATCTGCATCTCCTGGCGATAGCGTGGCAGGGGGCTGTTCACGTCACGATTCGCGCCGGCGGCGTCTGGAAATGTTGAAGACTGCCTACTTTCCAGGCGGCGCCGAGGGGGGCGGGGCTGGTCACGAGCGTTATCACGAGTCAAACACGAGCTCCAATCCAGTCGATTCGCAGCGCCCCGCTGACAGCAGGAGGCCTTCAAATCTGCCGGCCCCCCCTCCCCAGGCTCTTGGCTAGCAATGCACACTGCGTGTCCCTTGGTTCGCCCTGTCCTTGTCCTTGGTCCCATTTTCTTCCCCTTCCTACAGCCAAGACGCTCAAACAAGGACCACTTTGGGCTCAGGAGGGGCTCTGGTTTTCAGGGCCGTTCCTTAGGTGCAGGTCGGGGAACCTCTTCGTGGCCGAGGCTCGGGGTGGCTAGCACAGCCCCCTCGTTCCTTATTCAGTGCTCCTCGTGGTAGCACGAGGACTGTACTCCTCCCGGTCCTTCCCCCTCGCTCCTCTCCCCCCCTCCTTCTCGAACCCATGACCACGTCCACGACCACGACCAAGACCAAGGCGACCACGATGACCACGACCACGACGACGACGATCACGGCGATCACGACCACGACCACGACCGCGACCACGATCACGACGACGACGACGACGAGGACCCTCAGAGGACCCCCGCCCTCTGAGCCGGGAAGCCCACGACTACGACGATGACGATCAAGTTCTCGACCGGTTACGACCCCGGAGAAGAGGACGACCACGACCACGACCACGACGACCACGACGACCACGACGACGACGACCACGACGACCACGACGACCACGATCGCAACCACGACCACAAACCACGACCACGATCACGACGACGACGACGACGAGGCCCCTCGGAGGATCCCCACCGTCTGAGCTGGGAAGCCTACGACCACGACGACGAAGACCACGACGACGACGACGACGACGACGACGACGACGACTACCAATTCTTCGAGCACGACCACGACCACGACCACGAAAACGACGGCGACCACGACGACGACGACGACGACGACGACGACGACGACGAGGCCCCTCAGAGGACCCCCGCCCTCTGAGCCGGGGAGTCCCGCCGCGCCGGGGGCCGTGCCCTGCGGGCTCTGCGGGTCGTCGGGCGTGCCGGCCGAGGGCTTGCAGGGGCTGGATTGCGGGCACCGCTTCTGCGCCGCGTGCCTGCGTGGCCACGCCCTCAGTTCTGGGAAACGTAAGACTCGAGTAAGCCAGAACTCGGGTTAGCCGACTTCTTTTGACGAGCGCGTCCTGGATTTTGACGGCCCGTTTTCGTGGGATGTCTGCAGCGGGAGCCCGCGTAAAATGTCAGATTGGGTCTCGTCATTTTTATGGTGGCCCCCGTCAGGCCAACCCGAGTCCCCCGTACCCGAGTCTTACGTCTCCCCGATGCCCCGGGAACGGCAGGGCCGTTTGTTTTACTCGGGGGCCCCCAAACGGGGTGGTGACCACACACCGTGTGGTGAGTCGGTGGCGGTGGGGAGTCGGGGTCGCCGCACGGTTTTGGGACTCGAGGCCCGCTCCGAGAACGTCTCGGGCGGCAGGGGCCTCCAGGATCCTAAGACCGTGCGGTGACGGACCATGCGGTGAGGTCTTCGGGGATGTCGAGGTCACCGCACGGTCTGTCACCGCACCGTTTCGGGACTCCAAATTTTTCCGAACAAGTGTCTCTTGAACATGGAAGCGGGAACAACAACGGCGACTGGAGACGGGAACAAAACGGCGACGGAACTGGCAATAAAAGGGCGTCGGAACTAGCAATCAAACGGCAAAACGAAACTTCTAAAAAAAACGGCCCTGTCGTTTCCAGGGCCCATTAAGGCCACGCCTTGGGGTCGCCGGACTTCCTGCAGGAGCCTGCGGAGCAGAGGAGGTAAAGGTACCCAGAGATCCGACGTTCCAAATAAAAATTGGAGCGGGCGGTTTTGGGATGGTTTCGGCCTCCGGGGGCCCTCGCTGGGCCTCGGGAGTGTCAAAAAACAACTCAGGACGACAATCCAGCCCTAGCGAAGTGGTCCAGACCTCCGGGGCCCACGCATCGACAAATTGGAGTAGCAGTCAGATGTCTGGGGGGAAGGAAAGGTCATTACCAATACCGCTACTTTTCCCTCGCCGTCTTGGAGGCCCTCGTCGTCACTGCTGGATTCGTCTCGAAATCCCTGTCAGAACGCACCCGGGAGAGGTCTGGGGAGTAGCGGTGAGGTTTTCTTGTGGTCTCTCCCGCAGAGTTTTGCGTAGAGAATCGAAGAACCAAAAGCGGCGTATACATCATCTCTCAGAGGTCCGCGCTGATTTCTCGGATTGGCGTTAGCCCCCCCCCCCGGCGGCGGCCCCTCCGGCGCCGCACACGGTTCGCTCTCCGCGCCAGGGTGGGCCCAGCGCCGATCCAAGAGACCCGCGCGGACCTTCCATCGTTTTGGTCTATGCAGGTTCCTGCACCTCCATCGACCATCGAAGAGTCAGGGAAACGTGTGACTCGAGCTTGTCTGCGCGCGGGTTTTAGGGCGTGGTTTGATGGTCCAGCTCTCGTGAGGTGTTCGCAGCGGGGGATCGCGTCACATTTCAGCTTGGGTCCCTCCAGTTTTCTGACGACCCCGTCGGGCAAGTTCGTTTCCGTCACACTGGAGTCTTACGCTTGCCCGAGGAGTTTGCTTTACATGTGGTGGACCTCCTCGATCCCAGCTCTTGCTTTAAGTCGGGCCTGTCTCTCTACAGGGGGAACATTCCCAAGTAGTAAAAACAGTCTGGGGTCGATTCGCGGGGCATTTTTTGGGTTATGTTTGATTATTTGTTGGGTATGTTTGATTTTCCCACCAAAATCCCCCTGTAGGGGGACAGGTCCGACCTAACTCTTGCTGCTTCCGTTCAGGCGATCTCAAGCATGGATCACGGGGGCGTGGATTAGCGACGGGTCCCGCTTTCCATGGGACATCGCGGATTCCCGTCGCCGAGCGAGGCGGCACCAGCCGCACTTCGGGGGAGGGCACCTCCCCAGATCCATGGATTTGGCGGGCACGCGCCAGATCCATGGATCGCTAATCCGTGTTTGCGCGCCCCCGACCCCAGGGGGGGGATGCAATGCGCGGGCCACTCGAGGGGGGAACCCCAGGTGGACACGGCCTCTTGGGAACGACGTCTCGGCCCTGCTCCTGGATTCCTCTTGTATGGGGTTCGGCCCTGGAGGCTCCACATCCGATGGGCACGATCCATTATCATGATGGGTGAGGAGGAGGAGGAGGAGGAGGAGGAGGAGGAGAAGGAGGTGGAGGAGGAGGAGGAGGAGGAGGTGGCCAGGCCCCCCGATCCTTCGGCGTCGGGATAGCTTGAAGTAGCGTCGGGATGCCTACGGACAGTCTTGGAAAGGGCTTCGGCTGGCTAGGCTCTCGGAGCCGCCCCGGTGCGCCGCGGATAGCCTCGGCGGGTGCGGCGCGGATGGCCTCATGTCAGTGGGGCAGAGCAGGGCCCCCGTACATTGAACATCGGTTGGAGCGTGTTCCTTTCTTGCTTGGGGCATAATGGGCATTATAGCCCCCGGTCCTTCTCCCCCCCCCTATAACGTAATGCCCCTCCCCCCCCCCAGTGCGCTCCGGGGGCTCTGCCGCCGTGCGCACGGCGCGGTGGAGGCGTTACATCATACCTCTCCCTGCCCCCCCCCCTTCCTACCATGCCCACCATCGCCGAAAATAAAGAAACGCGCAGAGAGGTACACCTTTTGGGTTAAGTCGGGCCTGTCCCTCTACAGGAGGAATGTTCAAAAATAGTACAAAATCAGTGTGGGGACGATGTTTCGATTCTTTTTGGATTATGTTCTGGCATGTTTCTAATCTTTTTCATTTTTCGTCAAAAAATCCGCCTGTAGGGGGACATGCCTGAATGTACACCTTTTTGAGGGGGCGGGGGGGGGCATCCCAGGGCGGCTGGAGAGGCAGTTGTGGTGCCCAAAGTTTCATACTGTAGGGACGGATGGGGGGGGGGGCTCACACCTTCCACAGCCTGCCGAAGGAGGCGCCACGTATGCTGCGCCACGTGCAGGGATGGGCATGTCCAGAAGCGCCGGGTCAGCGGCTGTGGCGAGACCGAATGGCCACCCGAGTGCTCAGCCCCGGGCTCAGAATGGAGGCCGCCCGAATGGGGCCAGAGCAGATGAGGCGCTCCAGAAAGGGCCTCGCCTTCGAGGTGCGAAGGAGGTTGCGTCGCTTCCTCGGCGGAAGGTGCGGCGGCAGTTCGCTCAAGTCGGGCCTGTCCCTCTACAGAAGGTATAGTCGAAACCGTAGCAAAAATAGTCTGGGGAAGATTATTCGACTATGTTTGATCATCTTGGTGTTTGGTTGACTATTTTTGGTTTTCGTCCAGAATCCGCCTGTAGGGCACCATGCCCGACCGAACAGTTCGCGGAGAGGCCAGCGGAATATAGGTTGGCGGAAGGGCGGCGGACGTGAATAAACGGGTTCCCAAGAGATCGCACGATTTTTTCTGGTTAAGAGTTCCTCCTCCTCTTCCTCCTCCTCCTCCTTTCCCTTCCCCTGCCTCCCCCTCCTCCTCCTCCTTCCCCTTCCCCTTCCTCCTCCTCCTCCTCCTCCTCCTCCTCCTCCCCCTCCTCATCGCGCGTTATCTCCGATGCATATCAGGAGGGGAAAAATCACAGACACACTGAATCGTCGATTCCCAGGGGAATATGGGAAACTATCGGAAACATGGGGGTGGGGAAGACGAAAACCCAAAAGGTATTGGACAATATGGGGACTCCTGGGATTTGTGTGTTTTTATGTGCGTGTCCTTGGGCCCCTTCAGCATAACCGACGTATTTGTGGCGGCGAGGTGGGGAGAATCGTGCCCCGCATCGCGCCCCAGCGCCGACGCATCGGGGATGCGGCGCGCACCTCCGAAGCCTGGGTCACAAGCGGGGCGCGGAGACGATCGAGCACCTCGCGTCGCGGTCTGGGCCAGAGTGCCTGCTCTTGTCGGGGGGGGGAGGAGAGCGCGTTGGCGCGACGGTGAGAAGATGGCCCCGCGTCGCGCATCGCGGGGCGCGATGCCCGAATTTGTGCTGCCTAGGATTCGAGCGGCCTTTCGGCCCGCGGCCTTTCAGGAGGAGGAGGAGGAGGAGGAGGAGGAGGGAGGGAGCAGGGAGCAGGGAGCAGGGAGGAGGAGGAGGAGGCGGAGGCGGAGGAGGAGGAGGAGGAGGAGGAGGACGAGCAGCCTTGTGCTTGGCGCCCGAGGAGCCCGTCGCGTGCCCGCTCTGCCCGGCCACGCTGAGCCGCGCGCAGTTGCGGCAGGCCGTCGGCGAGGAGGCCTTCGTTGCCCGCCAGGCGGGCTGCGTGGGGAGGAGGAGGAGGAGGAGGGAAAGGAGGAGGAGGAGGAGGAGGAGGAGGAGGAGGAGGAGGAAGAGGACAAAGGAGAGGAGGATGAGAGAGGAGGAGGAGGGGGAGGAGGATAGGATGAGGAGGAGTTGGAGAGAGGAGGAGGAGAGGAGGAGGAAGGAGGAGGAGGAGGAGGGGGGGAGGAGGAGGAGGAGGGAAGGGGAGGGAGGAGGATGAAAGAGGGAGGGGAGGAGGAGAGGGGAGGCGGACGACGACGAGGACGACGAGGACGACGATGATCACGAGGACGACGAGGACGACGAGGACGAGGACGAGGACGAGGATGAGGACGAGGACGAGGCGGGCGGAGGAGGGCGGAGGAGGGCGGAGGAGGGCGGCGGAGGAGGAGGAGGAGGAGGAAGAGGAAGAGGAGGAGGAGGAGGAGGAGCGGAGGAGGAGGAGGAGGAGGAAGAGGAGGAGGATGAGGAGGAGGAGGAGGAGGAGGAGGAGGAGGAGGAGGAGGATGGAGGAGAATGGAGGAGAGGCGACGCCACCACCACCACCATGGGGGGCATCTCCAGCGAGGGGGCCCACGACGCCTCCCCGAGCTGGGAACGGGGCATGCCCTGAGCAAAGTGGCGGGGCGTCCCACCAGCAGGGGGGCCACCCCCCTTCCTGCTCGCGCTGGTGGTGGTGCCGCTTTTCCTTGCTCCCAGGGAGGTGGCACGGGGAGGACGATCGGGCGGACGTAAAGCCCGGGGTCCCCCCCCAATAAAAATTGGGTCTCCTGGATCGCGGGAGACGCGCCGCACTGCCGATGCATCGGCCACGCAGCTCGATGTGGAGCCCGATGTTCTTCACGCTTTCGTCGTCGATGCGTCGCCGACGTTGCCGATGTATCGGCGATGCGGCGCGATCCTTCGGCTCCATCTGCTCGGACCCCATCTGGGAGGCGTTCTGCTCGGGGAGGGGACGATCGGGCGGGCGGGAGCGGGGGGGCAACAAACGGGGGGTGGAGAAAGGCGCACCTGTCCAGCACCTGCTGGGGCCGCGGTGACCGGGTAGGGCTCCTATCAGGGTCGCTTTCTTAAAAATATCGTTCGCTTCGCCTTCAGTGCCATCCCCCCATCTGCTCCTCCCTTTTCCCTCCTCCCCTCCCTCCTACTCCTCCTCCTCCCTTTCTCCTCCCCCCGTCGCACTCAGGGGGGGGGGGGGGGG